CATGTAATGAAAGGTATAGGGGGGGGGGTATTACCGTAAGTCCTGCGATACGCATGAACTGTATCGGCTGATTAGGAAGCAGCTTGGTTGGGGCTACTTGATAACTGTAATGTTGAAGGATATGCAAATAAATTTATATCAATTTAATATTTGGTTGTACATGAAACCTGTAAATTTCTTATTAATATGAAGGCTACTCCATTTCTTCGATGTTCCTCTTGTCCGCAGTAGTAGATCTGGTGGTCATCTGATGTGAAGTGGCCCATTCCAGTCCATTTCAGTTCGCTGACCCCCAGAATGTCTATCTTTAGTCTTGACATCTCACCAATAACACCCAATTTGCCCTGGCTCATAGATCTTACATTCCAGGTTCCTATGGTGTGTTGATCTTTAGAGCATCGGATTCGTCGTTCACCTCCAGTACCGTCGGCCGCTAGCCTTCCTTTCGGCTTTGAGCTAGCTGCGTCATCACATCTGGGGCTAGTTGAACTTATCCTCTGCTCCTCCCCAGTAGCATTTTGGCCATCTTCCGACCTGGGAGTCCCATTGACCATGGCTAGCAGTACTTTATTTCCCTAGAGTCTTGGCCATCTATTCAAATATCACATTTATTAGTAGTAATTTTATTGTAGTAATTTTATTGATTAGCCCTTAGGCCATATCACAATAAGAAACAGAACAACAAGGCCTGACAAGACCTGATCACACTCCACGTAGAAAGTTAAAATAAGACACTTATAATAATACAGTAAATACATATGATAAGACATGATAAAACTGATAAACTGATCAAGCTGAGTATATAATGAAGAAGTGCTGGTGGATATTCTTATGCTGTGTGGAAGAGGCAGGTGCATCTTTGCTTGTTGTTGTTCCATGAAAGACCCGTAAGGCAGAGAAGTACTAGGATGGCACTACTAGATCTCTGAGAAAAAAGGGTTTGAATCCCTGCTCAGTCGTGGAATTCCACTGGGTGACCTTGGGCAATTTACACTTCCTCAGCCTCAGAGGAAGGCAATGGCAAATCTCACCAAGAAAATCCTAGGAGATGCTTCCCATGAACTCAAGTTGAGATCAAGGCACATCACAACAAACAAAATATTCCCAGCTTTCTTTTTCTCAGTACTGCCTTGTATTAAATCTTAATGTATCTCCATATTGAGACTGTGTGGAAAGACTGAGCTTACTCTCCATTTTGGCAGTTTGGTCTGCACTTTCCCCTGGAAAATGAGGATGTTACTAGAACCAACAGAACCCCATATCTCTCTCATTTTCTTCTTTCTGCTTTTGATGGAAAGTGTTTTATTGTGTTTTGTTTGATATATTGTTTTTTCCCACTCTTTAGACAGCTTCAGCTCCTAATATACAGCCCCAATCTCATTTTCCCACCTATTTATTTATTTACTCATTCTAATGCTTCCTTGTCTGCATTTTTCCATGCCAACCTGATCTTCAGGCAATCTGGAGGCTGAGATTTGATATCACAACACAATTGATTATTTATTTTTGCAACTTTTATTATAGATCATATTGAAGAATTCAGAAATAGCACTTGTTGACACACCAGCTTTCTTGAGATCTGTTTATAGGTTTTGTCCAATACATCTTTTCCATCTGTATTAAACTTCATTTTATTATATCATAGTTATCAAATTTTATCTAATTGTATGGCAGTTCTTTAAAATATATCATTTGTTAGGATAAACATATTGATGCTATGTGCTTTCAATTGTAGCTAGTAGTGCAATCCATTAAAAATAGTTCTAAACTTCTTCCAAAAATAGGAGGCACCGGCACTTTGTTTCTAAAGTCTTTCCAAATTTTGGTGGTCTATGTGTATGGTCGTACACAGAGTGATCAAAATTTTGGAAATCTAATGAAACTTACAGATATTTGTGAGTACTTTGTTAATGGTGGTCGCGATTGCACAAAAGGGAAAACATCACTGTCAATGGAGAAACTTGAGGGGATTCTCTCTACATTATGTTTGAGCTAACCAGATGAAACTTGCTACAGTGGTAGAACGCATTTACCACAGTTAGCTCATCAAATTTCAGAACGTTTGGCTTATCCACTGAATTTTGACAATTTTTTTAAGTTTTCATTAAAAAAAACTTTTTTAAAAAATACAAGAACTATCTATTTGAATTTTATATACAATGCACAAGATAATGAGGGCATCAATCCACAGAAATTTCAGAAAGATTCATATATCTACAGGTTTTGGGTGATTTTTAAAAGTTTAGACCAAAACAATTTATCCCCCAAAAAAGCAACAGCAGTAATCCCCTTGAATGTCCGTCTGTCTTTATGATACACAAACACATAACTTCAAGGTAGCACAGATACTATTACTTACTTACTTTAGTCCTTTTTGCAAATATTTATTTTTCTTAGACTAACTAACCAGCAACTGTGAGGCCAGCCCTCACTTGGGTCCTTCAGCCTCATTTGAGTCCTAAGCAGCATTCTTGGAAATGTATTTTGCAGCAGGGCCTACCATTGGGGGTCCGGCCTTTCCATACTACGGTTAAGGTGACTGTGATTAGTCACGCCCAGAGCTCCCTTTCTTATGGCAGAGCCAGCAAGGAATGAGATTTAAACTTTATGTTCTCTTGGCTTTACCAAAGTTGCTTAATGGTTATAGTGAAAATTTGACTGACCTTGGGATATATCGAATGTTACAGGACATTTATGAAAAATGGGTTAGTGATTCAAATTCTAAATCCCCACCTTTCCTGCATGCCTTGGAAATAGCTTTGTATGCACAAATTTAACAAATCAGATACGAATTCCAATTTTTATTCTGAATTACTTACCAGCCTAGCAGCTAGTACCTTGTGTGTCACTGGAATGATTTACCTGCTCTGTGTTTTAGTCTAGGGTTTAAAAGTGCTCTCCAAAGTGGGGAATCTCTCTTTTTTTATATAGGGTTCAGTATTTTAAAATTGAGACTAAAACCAAGAACTGATTCACTGTCTCACTAACATGGGAATCATCAGTCACTACATATTGTTTCAGAATTTGGGAGAAAGGTAGAATATAACTCAAATAAATATTTTTTTTCATTACTTCATATGTTTTTCACTTTAGCTCTATGAAATTCTCATTTAGGATGGGTATAGCAAAGAATGATAAGAGCTGTAACTCAAAATATCTGAATGACCAAAAGCTCTCCACTTCTCTGTTAAATCTGCTAAATTAGGTTCTTATACTTAATTTACTTTTATTTGCTCCATTGCCTCCGCTGATACCACCATAACTCAATGACCTAAAACCAAATTATTAAAACTTCTTAAATTATTCTTTGCTCACTCAAATTATGGAGAAGAGCATTTATTATATTTTTGGAACATACATAGAAACCTGAACATGACAAATTGCAGTCAACTCAAGATCATTAGGAATCATAGGGCACCAGCAGAAAATACAAGCATGACAAATTAGTAACTATTTTTCCTTCAAATAATTCTGATACATAAGCCAGGGAGGCAAAAGAAAGTCGCAGCTATGTTGTTATAAACACTTCAAGTGTGAGAAACTTTATTCTGTCAACAATCTTTTTGTATAC